ATAAATAAGGATAATAAAATAAATTGTGAACAATTAAATATGAATACTTGCTGTATAATGATCATGTACTTTTGTACAATTTTAGCACATTAAGAATTACAATTTTTTATAGCATTTTATTTCTAGATTTATGAAGTTGATGTATGACAGTTGACTTAGATATCAATACTCTGAATGGAATTGTTAATTAATAAAGTTTCTACGCAAAAATAGTATTTTACATTTTCAAGACTTTCGTATGTTCAAGTAACATTAATGTTTAATACAAAGATACCATAACCTATTTTGTATAAAATAATAATTTAATTAATCGTATTAAATGAATTAATCGTAGATTAACTTACCTTCCGATTATTTTTTGTACATAAATATTTTGAAATAGATATTTCCCATGAATATATTTAATTTTATGTACAGTAGACATTATTATTTATAGACCAAAACGATAATTGAAAACATTATTCATTGATATAATAAGTAGATCCTTAAATATATTTACAAATTTTCAATCATTGTTTTTATTTTACTCATTACAAGAAGAAAGTTTGTCTTAAAAATCGAAAGAAATTGATTTATCACCTGAAAATGGATTTACTAATAAGGAAAATTCGTCAGACTTTAAATTAAGTGGGAACGAATAATGATTTGACATTATAATATTTAATACCTTAAACAATGAAATAAATATAATTTACTAGGACAGTTGGGTACTAACGAGAAAAGTAAATTCAATGTTGCAATATAGTATATATTATAAATAACATCGTATAGTAATTTATTTTTAATTACTTAATAAGAAAATGAATATATTTATAACAATTTAACCAATATAAAAATCCATTGAGACTTTTTAATATAATCGTTTCCTATGTTGAAAATGTAGTAGAAGGTCAAGTGGATTGTATAAAATTCGTACAAGATAGATTCATTTTTATTTATTACTAATTAACTATGTTCTTTCTATTAGCTCACTTAGATTTAACAATAAATCGAACTGTAATAAATAAATTTATGCTCACAAAACGTTTACTGATATATGACGACAACCATCCATGAACTGACAGATTAACAATCAATAACTCGTGGTAAAAGAAACAATTCATTATTGTGATAAACAAAATCGACGCTATTCACTCAGTCGAAGAATATTTTTTTTTTGAGACAAAAATTAAATAATTACGATGATTGTAAATATCTCAGCATCGATGCTAAAAATACGAGAGAGGATAAAATAATACATTTCAGACTTCTTATTTTACAATTACAAAATTCTTTAAAGTTGCTATATAGAAATATTTCGTTCTTTCTTTTTCTCGCTGTTTTAAGACTAATGTAACCTGACAATCTTTTCTAATGAGCCAATAAAAATCTACTATTGTGTGAACTGTTAAAAAAACTATTTGGTTCACTCATGGGTATCATATCTGACTTTCTTACTTGAAATGGTAAATATTTAATTTGAGAGACGCTACATTAATAGATAATCTTTATATATTTGATTAATACTAGAAATACCAGGCATATTTTCAGTTTCTAAACTGTATATTTCAAATTGTTGAAATTATTTATTTTCAAAATCATTTTGAATATTAAATGCTTCGAAGATATGAATAATTGTGAAACAAAGATACCGAAACCAGTGAAAATGACTGTCTGTAAAACGACAGTTCTAGTTTTAAAGAAGGTATGGTTGTGAAAAATGTTTCCAGACGTCTTAATGACGGTCCCATATCAATTTTTGAGATATTCATGAATATTTACAGAAATCTTTTTAACACTATACGTTTAACTTTATACATTTCTGCTTACTATAGGATAATTTTAAGTTGAATTGAGTATTTAAAGATTTAGTAATAAAAATAAGAATAAATGGAACAGACAATTATTGCATTTTTTAGTAACGCATTATTAAGCACTTTATAGAAGACGAATTAAGTACACTAACTAAAACACGTTCTATGAAGTACAGTACGTAACATTGCATATATTTTTACGTATATTTTTGAAATTTGAGAGATCGTACATGAGTTGTGCTTGACAACATATGTCAAAATTATCGAAATTTGTACGTTTATAATTAATGATCAAAATGCCGAAATCTTGTTTACAAATATCTAAAAAATTGTAAAAGGTTGTCAATTAAGTTCTGAGGTAAAATTACTTAGAAGTTTGTCCTTAACCTTTTAGCTACGACATAATTAGCCGCGAAACTGTACCTCTGTACAGCAAGGTTTAACGCAGACTGCGTATTAGAAATACAGCACTGCGATTTCAAACTGATAGAATTTTCCACTGTGCAACTACGTTAGATTAAACCAGCGGTTGAAAACAATTATGATATCGTTTTTTGGTTCTGGAAACATGAAGAACATAAGTAAAGTCAATAATTGTTATTCGGTATACCGGTTTTATATTGGCGCAGATAAATGCTGATTCTATGTCAAAAAATAAGTCGAATGTATAGAATAAAATTTGTTTATATGAGGTAAATAATATAAACATTTTCGTGACATTGGAAATCTTTATTACCATAAACTTTATTGGTGATGATGATCTACAGTGAGATCCAATAATGAGATATGATCCAGTACACTCATACCTGGCAAATACTCAAAGTCGATTTTTTCGAAAACAAAGCCTCGTACGAAACAATTTTATTGTATATTTTCGACTTATTTTTTTACATAGAATCAGCCTCTATCCGGCTGCAACGTTAGTTACATGACACCTTGCAGCTGTAGATAATTGCAACACTCAACAGGGCCGAAGAGTTGCAATTATGAAGAGGTAAAATCGTCAAGAAGGAAAAAGGAAGACTGAGACTCTTTGTTCGGTAATATTAAAAGCTCGCGATGAGCTTCAGACTTTTAATTTAAAAATTTTTTTATTTTTGACTTTGAGGAATAAAACTTTCACCGTCATATTATGACAGAATTAAACGTGATAGAATTATGATTATAATTACTTGTATAAAAAGCGATTAAAGTCTCAGATATAAAAAAGACTGCGAATAGAAAAGAAAGAGATACTAAAATCATTAAGTTCGGCAATGTTACAATATCGGATCATGTTATCTGCACCCTTCAACCGCGACCAGTCAAGGGCTATTGTGTGTTAAAAGGAACCTGTTGGGGATGTGGTGGAGATGTCGACGTTCCAATTGTGAAGAGGTCCCCGTTGTTGCAATTATCCAATGTTCATTGTATTGGTTCTATATCGGTTCCATAACTATTACTTCTCAGTTCTGAAAGAAATGAAGAACCGAAAAATAACAATTGTACAATTGATATAGAACCGATATAATATTGGTTCCGAAAAACTGGAACCGAAAACGATACAGCTCATTGTCAGAATCAGATCAAGTCAGATATATTGAATAATAGTTATGACTTTATTTTGTTTTTCCATAACTGTTTCAGTCGGAACCGATAAATAACAGTTTTAAACAGTTGTTTTCGGAATCTTCTCAATCCCTGGATTAGACTGTAATGAGCACAACCAGCGATGACAGAGAAAGAAGTGAGCTGTTATAGTGGTTGTACCGTTCAAAAAGATGTCACACGAAAGCGGCTATAGTAGCGTACCTTACAGACAGATGGCATCCGCGGAAGCTGTATATATTATTTCATTTTACTACATAGTATTGTGTTAAGTGTTTTAATTCGTTTCTTCAACTGTTAACATTTTTTAATGCATTCATTTCGTGTAGCACTGCCGTTTGAAGCGTTAGCCTGGCTGAATATTTGATGCAGAAATAATAGGTTAAATGTTAACAACGCACGCGAAGATCACAGCCATTAGCGTAACGTCCCTTAACCCCCTTTAAGTCGGTGTGACTTTGAAGTCACATACCAATATACTGGCATCTTGTTGATTTATCTAATTTTACATAGCAAAGTAGCAAATAAAACCAAGTAATTAATTAACTTAACACTAAAACTACCGAGCTGTTAAATCGACTTTTTGAAATTCCTCTGTAGAAACTCAAAAAATCCATCTATTGGGACATCAATTAGGACTTCAATTTCTTTAATAATTTCTCAGAGAAACATCTGTCATCTTTTTAATAATCGTAAAATTGCAAGGTATATTCGTTTTAATATAATTATTAAAACTATTGAATACATTGTTGATTCGTATTTACAGGTTGACATTTGTTAATTGTATACTACACACATTCTTTATAGTCACGAAAACAAACTAGTCCTATAAAGGGTTAGATGAAGCAATTACCCCCGAAATAACACATCGACATTTTCAATTAATTTCAGTACTGCATTATATTTTCATGTACATACGATAAGAGTCCATTACACTGTCAATTTTCAACACAATTCAAATCGTCATCCATTAAACGGAAAGTTCAATCAACATCACACTTCGCCACTACAGTTTTATTTCTAATGTTCTTTGGCAGGTAATATACACAATTTGCATCGTAACGTCAATCACAATTGTTGTTCACTTTTCGTCCATTTATTATGCATCCGAGCGGAACGTCACAGCATCGATAATTTACAGGAGCAAGATATGGTGCATCGCGTCGTCGAACGTGAAATCAAAACGCATCCTTTCACCAGTAAGGTATATAAATTCTGTCTTTCGCCTCTTATGTACAATTACGGTGGACCGTTCGATTCGAGTTTCCCAAATCACTGCAAATTCTCGTTTGATACATATTTATACATACCCCTTGTATTCGGTGAAACGGTCCCTGCCTTCCCGCGAAGATATCATCGAC